TGATGAGGTCATTAATGCATCATGCTCCTTTTCTGCTCAGTCACAGAAGATGGGATGAGGGAACACCTCAGATTCTTGGGGACTGAAGATCTTCCATCAGTGAAGGGCAACAGTGGATGGTTTATGTCCACAATCTTTTTTTTTTTTTTTTAATAGTGCCCTACATTTTGGAGTATCTGGGGAGGAGAAAAAAATCAGTATTATTGAGGGACACTCTTCTTTTCTGCTTTTTTCCCTTAATGCCTGGAGATTTGGGGAGGCATTATGGGGAATTATTTATTTATATTATGGGCATTATTTATTTTACTAGAAATAAAAGAATCTTGCGGGACACTGACAGCTCAGAGTAGGATCATGTATTTTAAGATCCCAAGGCCACTTATGTTCAAGTTAGCCTCTGTAACCCCCAAAACTCCTCTGACTGAACCATTGAGATTTAATGCTGCAGGTTTTTGTTGGAATTTGGCAGCAAGTTTCTAAAATTGTCTGGAAGCTCATCTAAGTTAATCTCTTCCCCCATGTTTGGGCATTTATATGAAGAGGAATTATTTCTATATATATTTTTAATTCTGGGCCCACTTATTTTATAGCGTGGCCTCACCTGCTTCCACCCTAATGTATATTGGGGTTACCTTGGATATATGTTTGTAAATGTTTCAGTTGCTGGAATTCTTATTATCTAATCCCTTTCTTCTTGAAAAAAAAAATCTTGCTAAAGAGGCTCTGTGAGAACCCTGCTTAGAAAATGAATTACAGTATTTTCAGTTTTAAGTTAGAGGCCAAAAACCTGACCAATGGTCTAAAGTTGCCTTTTGCTTCAGGACAAGAACAGGCAACCTGTCCCCTTTCAGATGTCACTGAACCACCTTTCCCAAGAAAATTCTGCAGTGATTGGAACTGAGCCCCAAAGATGATCTGGGGAGTGAGTACAAACGTAGCATCTGTCTCCAACTTCTTAAAGTAGTTTGTGTCTTTTCCCAGAATTGTGGAGTTGGCACCAAACCATTGGCTGTGAAAAGCCTGGTGAAAAAGAGACGCCTTGACAGACTTTGTGAAGGCAGAGAGAAGGGAAACCGGCACAGCTCTGGTGGGAGTATGTTTCATCACCTGCGAGGGATGCACGAGAAAGCCATCTCCTGTGTGCTGATAGACAAGTCTCAGAAGCAGACTTGCTTTCAGAAGAGCTGCTCTGCATCTTGATCTCCAGCACAGAAAATTAGCAATTCATGATACTTAATTTATTAGTCTTCATTTGCAGAAGCACAGGAAGAGTCTGCCAAATTTCCATTACTAATAGTAGATGTAATCACAATGGATTTCTGTCTAATTCTCCCCCCCCCCCCCAGTCTTAGGCTTTCTTTACAGTGAGGAAGGAAAAGAAATTTTTTTGCAGTCTTAGACACAAACAAAGCACCATTACATGCAATAATAGACATTCATACAGTTTGATCTGGGCAGACCAAAATGAACCAGAATTATTCATTAGTGGTGATCTTGCTACAGCAAACTCCTTAAAGAT